CGCCGGCCATGGTGGCGCGGCGGCTGCGCTCGTCGGAGGAGCGTGCAGCGGAGTCATTCCCGCACGCTTCTCCGTCGAGCGTGGCTCCAGCGTCCGTGCTCATGGCGCATCAGGGGAGGGAAGATGGGGCGCCGGCCACCGCGTCATGAAGGGGTCGACGGTGACGTGCAGGGTGACGGCCCGTACACGCGCGCGTCCGTAAGTGTGGCGGCAAGGCGCAGGTGCATTCCGCGCGTCGGCCAGGGCACGACGGCGTCGCGGCGTCTCCGCCCTCGCGCAGCGGTGGGCGCGGTGCGGGCCCCGAAGGGAAAAGGCGGCTACGCGGCGCATTTGGTGAGGATTCTCCTCATTCTCCTCCAATTCGTGTGCATTAGTACTTGATTTGGGGAAAAAATAGTCCTAATTGCAGAATTAGGGTTCTTGTGAATTGGGGATGAATTCTGGGGTTCTTAAACATGAGGGGGTGCTACAGTTGACTTGCTTGTATCGCTCTGCCTAATATTTTGCTAATGCATACGGAAATAGTACTTAAGCATGATCAATTTTAATCAACTTAACATGAAGGTGAGCATAAGATCTTAACTTAGATTAATTAAAAAAGATGAACATAGGTGGCAGTACTGATCCGTAGCAAATTAGTTTAAAACATGATGATTTACAGAGGGCAACAAGGCAGTAGCATGCATATTTGGACTAACCAGGGGCTGAAACTTTCAATCTTGATCATGAATCCTAAACATGTCATTGATCTAAACATGATAGTGATCTACTGATCAACAATAAAGGGATCTATTGCAATCAAGATTGGCGACTGATACCATTATTGGAGTAATTATGCATCTATAGGATGCCATTAGTAGAAATTGATTGCAACTAGAACACCTAATTAACATGAACAGAGAAGGGTTTAGGATTTCTTTACATGTCACGAGAGTGGACATGATCGCCTGCTCGGTGCAGGCGTGATGCAGGGGTGATGTAGTCGAAGTAGAGGTTCTCCTCGACGTCCTGATTCCTTCAGGACGCCACCGGGACTGGCCGGGGACGGCGGCGGCGGCTGGCTTAGGTCTTCCCGTTGCTGCAGCGCTCCCCCTGATCGGATGGGGTGAGAATATCGGGAGGAGAGTAACCTTACGTGAATTGTGACCGCGCAGGTGGCCAGCTCTCTCCCGTATCCTTTTATATGGCAATGGCGACAGGGGACCCAAAACCTGAGTTGGTTTTTGGGCGCCCCCGATCAGGGCGCGTTAGTTCTGATCGAGGTTCACGTACGTTGGTACGTGGACCCCTTCACTTATCGTTATCCCTTTATTTATTTTTCTGTTAGACTAATAGATCTAATCTGGCTTGTTAAGCTGTCAGATCAAAACCAACATCTACGACGCCATCTTTCCATTTCAAATTAAAAATATACAACGCGCTCTTTCTTTCCACGGCAGTATAATCTACAACTTGGCAACGCATACGCATCAAAACTGACCCAGAAACACGAAATATCCCACAGAATTTGTATCAAGGGTTTTTTGCCTCACAACGGAACTAGTGGCCAAAATTTTGGTCGCTTATAAGTGGAAATTTTCCCAAGAAACTGAATTGGCAATAGAGTATTGATACACCAAAAAGTTAACAAACGAACAAACAAAAACCAATTGTTCATCTGTGTCACAAGCATTGACGCCTGATCATATTTTCTTCGTCCATACCTTGTTTTGATCCATGTAGCAAAACAAACTTGAAAGTTGTCTCAAAGTCTCACAATGGCCGTAGTTGGAACCAAAATTCGAAAGCTAGCTACAATGACATATTTTCTGAAACACGGAGTGACATGCATTTGTAGCAAAATTTGGCACAGGTGATTCGGATTTCCGCGTAAGAGCAAGCAGTTTGCTCGTCCTCAGATACTAAAACGCCTCTAAAACCTACATGCCAGTACTAGTTTCAACAAACAATAGAGCCTCCAATTCTGCAACGCAACATTCAAGATGACATGACCCCCCACCCTATCATCACCTAGTTAGTCAACTCCATGATGGCGCTGACAATGTCACCATCAGCAGCTTTGAGCGCCTTCACAGCCTGGACCTCGACACGGAGGCCTGTGCCATCACGAGCTCGACATCCTTCTTGTCAACGCAGGTCTCTTCAACCTCCTCATTGTGTTGGGCTGATGACACAGACGGCTCACCCTTTGAGATGACGATGTTCGGTCCCGGCGCCTTGAACTGCTCCGCCGCTTGTGTCTGCATGAGCTGAGTGTTCATATCCTCCATCTTGACCACCCCGAACATGACATAGGTTTCTAAGTGCGAGCTCTTGAAGACGTCTCGCTTGGAGAGGACAAACGTAGCCTGCAATAGTATTAAGAAATTAAGAAATTGCGACAACCACCAGCATATAATTATGCTACAGGGAACAATAGTTGAAGCGGTTAAGATGCTCACTGTCTTGCTCTGCTTGATAGTTACACGGCTCACACCAGTAACGGCCTTCATGCCAAGCTTCTCCATGGCTTCTTGCTCTTCTTCTCACTCCTAGTCCCAGAAAGCACAGGCGCATAATATCAGGTTTTCTAAATTTTACATAACCCCAGAATTTTACAACTAGACATAGTTCACTTCGTGAATTATTATTGGTAATCGTTGGAAATGGCAAGTGTAACATTCATACAACACTTGAACTTTTCTCAAGCACAATTGAACAGAAACCGTGACTGCAGTCAAGTCTTCTTGGCATCCATTGTCGATTTTGGAATTTTGAACAAGATCTTAGTTTTACCACTTAGGGTAAGCTACAAAGGATTAGCGGAAAGTTGTGTTGTAGGATTAGCTATTCATATAAAGGAAATTTCAGCATCAGTTCCTACTAAATGCAATGAAATTATTCACCTACCAAAATTAAACTTGCAAAAGCGAGATTTTAATTACATTCAGGATGTAAGCCGGTCATTGTGGATATTGTTAGTACTATGTGATGAGTCGTGCGTTGTGCAATTAAGATTTTATACTGGAAATAAGGAATATTGTGTGGTATGCAAGAACTTAGTTGTTTTTCCTGCCTTAAATCATGTGAATCCTCTTTTTTGTTTGAAAGAAGGATCGTCTGTATTCGTGAAGGTGGAACGAGTGACGCATGGACACTAGTAGAAAAAGGGGCAAATCTGAGACACATTAGTGCCGGTTTGATTTTGAGCCGGCACTAATGTGTCCATTAGTGTCGGTTCCAACGGCTAGCCGGCCGCTCTCATTAGTACCGGTTTGTGGCGAACCTTTAGCACCGGTTCGTGGCACGAACCGATACTAAAGAGAATGATGGCAGGATGTTGTCAGTCCGGGGCCCGTCCAGCACCTTTAGTACCGGTTCGTGCCACGAACCGGTAATAAAGGTCGACGTACATAAACCCTTCGTCCACCCGAGCCACTCTATTCTTCCCCATTCCCCTCACTTTCCTCTGTTCTTCCCCTCTCTTCCTCGAGCTCCTCACAAATTTTGCCCAAAATTTGTCAAGATTTGAAGGCCCCCATCCATTCAAATGATCACAAAGGTTAGCAACTTTGTCCTTTCAACTCTCATTGCTAGATTAGCTCTTTCAATGCTTTGTATAGTGATTAATTTGGGAGGAATTTTATTTGCTAGTATTTGATTTATATGCAATTTGAGGTTAAGAACAACACTTAGTTTGCATATGTAGGTGTGGTTTACTAGTGCCTTCCAAATCTCCGTCGTAACCACCGTCGATAGCCCGCACCGTCCCGTCGCCGGCACCACCTTGTGGTGAGGCTCTTGTTCATGAAGGTTTTACATTACCAAATTGATGTTTGTGTGATTTGGATATATAGTTACTCGTATAATTGTCTTACACGTACGTTGTTTGTTATCCATAGTGCCATGGTTTTGATATCCGTCCCCGTCCGCCCTCGTCCTTGTTATGATTCGGATATGGTATATTCTCTTTTAAAACTAGTTGTTGCATTTCATGTTTATGACAAATTATGCCCATCAAGTTGACATAGATATTTTTATCTAGGAGGTATGTGAACCGGAAATTCCAACCGACCCTATTATCGAGAGGTTAAATTTAGTTGAAAGAGAAAACGAGTATTTGAAAGAAAAATTGAAAAGAATTGAAGGGGAGAAGATGGAATTGGAGTTGCATGTTGCCGATGTCGTCGATGATCACAAGATCAAGATGGAGAAAATGAGGATGAAGATTAGAAAGATTAGAAAATATGCCATTCATAGTGTGGCTTGGTATCATTATGTTGTAGGATCAATTGTTAAGTTAGTTGCGATCTTGACGGCATTCGTTGTTGCATTTAAATTCTTTAGCTAGAGAGTTATTTGTATGTTGCATTTAATTAAGTGTTGTATATGAACTTTATGTATGAACTTGTATTAATTTGGTCTATTTGGTGTTGTGTATAATGAAGATATGAGCCGACAATGGATGTATGATGACCGATCCTCTCCCGGGTTCATTAATGGCGTGCATACTTTTCTGCTTGCCGCTGAGGCAAACAAGCGGGCGGATGGTTTTATGCCTTGTCCATGTGCTGGTTGTAAGAATGGTCGCAATTACTCTACGTCAAGAACCATTCACGTCCACCTATTTGAGTCCGGTTTCATGCCCCACTATAATGTTTGGACCAAGCACGGAGAAAGAGGGGTTATGATGGAAGACAATGAAGAAGAAGAGGACGACGACATCTATCCTGGACATGGGTTCCCTGAATACGATGATACAACAATGGAGGAAGAAGCTGAGCCGACAATGCGCGAACAAGCTGAAGAAGAGGCATCAGATGAGCCCGCTGATGATCTAGGTCGGGCCATTGCCGATGCAAAGAGAAACTGCGCAAGTGATTTGGAGAGGAAGAAGTTGCAGCGCATGTTAGAGGATCACAAGAAATTGTTGTACCCGAATTGCGAAGCTGACAAAAAAAAGTTGGGCACCACACTGGAATTGCTGTAATGGAAGGCAGAGAATGGTGTATCTGACAAGGGATTTGGAAAGTTGCTGGTAATGATAAAGAATATGCTTCCAAAGGACAACAAATTGCCCGAGAGTACGTATGAAGCAAAGAAGGCTGTTTGCCCTCTAGGGTTAGAGGTGCAGAAGATACATGCATGCCCTAATGACTGCATCCTCTACCACGGTTCATACGAGGATTTGAACGCTTGCCCGGTATGTGGTGCATTGTGTTATAAGATCAGTCGCGATGACCCTGGTGATGTTGAGGGCGAGCTCTCCAGTAAGAAGATTCCTGCCAAGGTGATGTGGTATGCTCCTATAATACCACGGTTGAAACGTTTGTTTCAAAACAAAGAGCATGCGAAGGCGATGCGGTGGCACAGAGAATACCGTAAGAAAGACGGAAAGTTGAGAGTACCCGCTGACGGTTCGCAGTGGAGAAAAATCGAGAGAAAGTACAGGGAGGAGTTTGCAGGTGACCCAAGGAACGTATGGTTTGGTCTAAGCGCAGATGGCATTAATCCTTTTGGGGAGCAGAGCATCAACCATAGCACATGACATGTGACTCTATGTTTGTATAACCTTCCTCCTTGGTTGTGCATGAAGCGGAAGTTCATTATGATGCCAGTGCTCATCCAAGGCCCTAAGCAACCCGGCAACGACATTGATGTGTACCTAAGGCCAGTGGCGAGTCCAGTAGCTAGGCTTAAACAGGCTCTAGCCTACCCTCGATTTTTTTTACTACTACACTTCATCTCAGCCCAGCAGCCAAACACGACAAACAAAATGAACAACCGAACTGCCCAAGTGCTGAGTGCCCGCAGCGAACAATAGCTATCTCCCGAGCACAACTGCACAAGACCGAGACGCCGCATGCTCCCATGACCAGACCAGCATTGGCCGGCGACGGACCAGCCGAGAAGAGAGCCCACCGGAGCAGCTGACCAGGGATCCGACGGCTGGAGCTCCATGCCAGTAGCGAGTCACACCCAGCCAACCCATCGCGTCTGCACCCTGCTCCGACGGTACTCGCCGGCCGGCGGCCGCCCTCCAGTTCTGCTGGCTTTGCCTTCGGTGAATGGTGAACGGAGGAAAGAGGAGTTGAACAACTCTGCAACCTGCAGGCTAGCAGCTCTCTTGTACCAAATTGTTGGCAACAAAAGCAGTGGATAATTTGGTTCAGAATTTAATATTGTCTTTGCATATTGTCTATTGTAAGTTTGCATAATGTCTACACAAATCATCCATCCCAAGCTTTGCAAAAAAAGAATCAAAATATTGTTCAAGCCATGCGTTTGATCTTGGATGTGAAACAAAGCTACATGTTTCTAGTAGTATTCTGGGAAAGTTTGAGCACATTTTGATAAATGGATTAGGAGATAATGGCTTTTAGCTAAGCAGATTCAAAATTTGGTTCAAAATTTCATATTTTTCAAAAAAAAAAACAAATTACAGTAAAAACGACATGTTTCCAGTAGTATTCTCGGAAAGTTTGAGCACATTTGGACAAATGGATTAGGAGATAATGGCTATTTAACTAGCAGATTGAAAATTTGGTTCAAAATTTATTATTTTTCAAAACTTTCAGTAAATACTACATGTTTCCAATAGTAATCTGAAAATATATTAGCTTATTTGAATAAAAGAATTACGAGATGATGTTTTTTCTTCAAACAAATGTTTCATTTTTCGTCGTTAACTTTGAGCCCACCCTCCACTTTCGTCATGGATTCGCCACTGCCTAAGGCCATTAGTTGAAGAACTATTACAGCTGTGGAATGGAACAGGTGTACGTGCGTGGGATGAGCACGGACAGGAAGAATTTGACCTAAAGGCGTTGCTGTTCTTGACCATCAATGATTGGCCTGCTCTCAGTAACCTTTCAGGACAGACAAACAAGGGATCGCGGATGCACGCACTATTTGGATGATACTGACAGTATATATTTGGAGAGTTATAGGAAGAATGTGTACCTGGGACATCGTCGATTTCTTCCGAGCAGGCATCCCGTAAGAAAGAAAGGCAAGAATTTCAAAGGTGAGGCGGATCACCGGACGAAGCCTCGCCACCGTACTGGTGCTGATGT